ACTAATTTCTACATGACATTGATTGCTATTACCTAGTGCTAAAGAACATTTTATGCCGTTAGTTATGTGTTTTAAATATATTTTACTTTGTCCGTACGGCGCAGATGTTGCGGATGCCGCTGGATTTTACTTTAGAGAGGTTATCACAAAACGAAAATCGTAAAATCAAATTTTCCATCTTTTTTAAAGAGCTGGATATGTCGGATTATACTTATAGCCTTCGATCAATTTTATATTGATCAAATTAAGAGCCTCATTTTTTAGAAAATGTGAGAATACCCACGTCTTTATTTAATTGTGATCAAATAATAATAATCATATTCAAAACATTTTGTTCCATTGTGGTTTCATTAATAATTTTAGTCCTCTCTTTTGAGGACACTCGTTCAAATCAAACAAATTACTACGTGACATTGTTACGATGTATAAACATAAACAATCGAAGTTAAGCATACACCCCCTTGGAATTTGCGCCTCCGCGGCACAGGGGGTTCGAGCTGTTATTTACATTGTTGGTTTTTACTATATAAAGGAACAGAAAACAAAATGTTGTTAAAATTTTTCAAAGAAGCGGGGGGTTTGTTGGACTGTACTTCACAGGCGAGGGAAGTTCTGTCGAAGTAACCTTGGACCAATTTGTTTCACTTAACACTCGAAAAAGTCTTATTTAAAAATTACATACAAAAAGTTAACACCAAAAATGTGTAAAGTTGTTTTTAGAACGTAGATTCTGGAAACAATAAGTTAATGGATTCGGATGTTTTTGCCTAAATGCACTAGTGAATTTTTTATCGAATTCCATGTATTTTTTATGGACACATTCTATTTTAGGATAAATAGGTTGAAATACATTACGGTACGGACGTCGTAAAATCCCATTTGATTGAGTTGGCTTCATAAAGTATGGATAAAAATAGTATAGTAAAAAAGCTTGAAAAATAATTTACAATTTTTCATTGAAGTTTATGTATAAAGTTTCTTTGAGTTTAAACAATACTAACGATAACAAGAAGCCGTTGCTGAACTAATCGGAAGGAATGGTCATGTAAATTTCACTAAAATTTGAAAATTGTTGGTCAATAAGTTTGGGGAATTATTTGGCTATTAAAATCGCGAAGAAACTATCAACAGATAGATAAACAGAATCAGTTAGATAGTTTAATGAGTGATTGTATTAAAATTATTCTCGTAGCTACCTCGGTGGAAGCAACAAATGGTTGTATGTTTTTCACTATAGGGTTTTATCTGCTAGATTTCCCAACAGACCTTTTTTTGTTTGAACCAAATAATTTAATGAAACGAGAATGAAAATAAAAAGGAAAACAATAGTATAAAAATTGTAAATGCTTCTTATCACACTTGGTAATAAGACCGTGATTTACTTGAAATATGGAAACAATTTTTGAAGCATATTTATATTTTTTCGTGCTTCATTTCATTATATTTCCCCTTGCTGTTACAGTCCACAGTGTTAATGAAGTCCAGCGTAAATGATCGACTCAGAAATATTTGTTGCTATTTCGCTGCAACTTTCGCGCCCGAACAGATCTTGTCTAATTGCAGTATTTCAAGCCCAGCGACCTTTCCGCCAAATCGGCTTCCATATTCTGGACGATTGCGTTTCGATGTGCTAAAATTCTCAACTAGGTGCCCGTGTCCGTATTAATCCGTTCGGACCGCAGACCGCAAAACTCAGAGTTCCTGTGTTCTACCCAATACTCCTTCTGTCGAGATCGACCACTTCGATGAGAAACATTAGTCCTAAATGGGGGATTATTCTCGTTTCACTAGTTCTGGAGGACTGTTAATGATGTTCCCGTTCCACTTATTTGCGTTCTATATGACGTCAAGTTTGCTTGATATCAAGACACGTTTTGTTGGGACAATTTATGGGTCCTTCAACCCTAACCAACATACCGTGCTCTAGTTTTCTTGATGTTATGGCGGAATTCCTGTTATGCATGCTTTTGATTCATCCCCAAGGCACAAACAGCAAGACGCTGTGCCGCCGCCTTAGACTCGAGTCGTTAGTAACCTCAAAGGGATTAAGGGATCAGGAGAAATTTAGATAATGATTAAGACGGTGTTGATAAAATTAATTATTTATGAAGAGCAAATGAGACTACTTGTTTTCTTGGGCCTTTACTTCTAGAGCGAACACGACACGAGACATGAGATAATTTAAAAAGTATTGAAAATAAAATGCCCATAAACTATATGTTTTTACAAATCGTACAGAGAGATAACGATGGATTGCAAATACTTGGACATTTTTTTGTCAATCGTATCAAAATCATCCCGTCTTGTAATAGTTAAGTTTCGTGATTTGCCACGTAAATGAATATTTTCTACGATCGCTTTAAACTGGCAGATTCCTTGCGAGCTGCTTAGAATAAAACAACACGGAGTTGTACTATTTTTGTTTTTATTTCGTTATTTCCAAGTTGTGGTACAATTTTTGTTGAATTGGAATGAAGTACATACATGAAAGTTGTTTATTTTCGTATTCGCGACCATATTTCATACTTGTATTAACATTTTTGCCATTTGATATATTAAGGTCTAGTTTTTTGTTGTTATTGATTTCTTTACGTATTTTTGGTTATAATAGAAGATTGCCAGCCTTCACGTCTTTTTAATGTTGTCGCTTCATTAACTAAGGATGTAGTTGACACTTGATATAGAGAGTTTTTGCTGCAATATTTTAAGTGTGGTAGGTTCAAATAAACTATTTCTACGTAGTAGGCGTTAAGTTATGAAACCTCATAACCAGTCTATGAAATTTTTTGAAGAAGTTGAAATATACATTTTGTAGATCATGGGAATTGTTAAATTTCATCGAATTTCTTGGAATTGTAGAAATACAGATTAAGTTGTGTACTTTAGTGCTTTTTTATAGACTGATTTTAATACCTGTGAACTTAGCAGACACAAAAATCAACTAGACGTCGTTATCTACAAATCCGAAATCAACCGCTTCCTCTTCAATTTCACCAAGAATTTATGGATCATAAAGAAAACCAAATCCGCTTTAAAGACACTCAAGTCTCACCGCAATAATGTGAGATAAAATCACATTAAATTTTTTAGCTTGTTTTATTGTATAATTGTTATTCGAGCATTAACAAGACCTATAATACTTTGAAGAATGTTTTAGTCCAATAACTCGACGTAGTTCTAAAAATAGAGAGCCGCAGTTAATATTATCCTGACTGATAATCGCGTACATAAAATCAATCAGACAATAAAATTTCACTTTCTAAGGATCAAACATCAAACGTGAATTAAGCAGATTGTATCCAGATAGGACAAGATTATATTTCTACAGCAGATATTTTACGTGATATATTAACTATTTAGAGTAGATTTACATTACAGAACATAAAGAACAATTTAACGATCTAGTTAGGAGATAACTGTTACTACGTAGGTTCATATTGTCACCTTAAATAATTTCCATATAATATAAATGTGCGCCGGTAATTTCCTTTCTGTGTTCAACTACAATAGTCCACTAGTGTAACCTATTTCAAACGCTTTCGCTGGTCATATAACCGAAAAGCTTTAATTTAAACCATGTTTACGTGTTTTACTATTTTTTTAGCCTTGCGAGTTTGAATAGAATTATGTTTAACTAAACTTTAAATTGCAAGTTTCACAGACAATAAACATAAAGGTAGTTTGAGAAAATAGATTAAGTTAGTTGGTATTTTTTACAGAATTGTCTGCAAAACCAAAAACGATAAAAATAAATCATTGTGGACAGTAATCTCCTGTGAGACAACTGGCCAGTGGGCAAGATTACAAAAATGTCCCCTGAAAAGGTCAGCTAAATTCGTGTTAGTACTTTAAAGCAAAGGTTAATCTAACGTTTGGTGCTTAATGTGTAAAACATTCGTAAACAAAAGTCACCGAGAATGCAGAATTCGAAAAACAAATTTAAAAATTTTGAAGCTTTGTTTTAGGTTTTAATTTTTTCATTACTTCTGATGTTAAATAAATAAGTCATTAATATTTAATAACGTTAAAAGTCTGCTAAAATTTCAACAAATACGTTGAATTGAATAACTTACAAAATGATGAATTTTATATACGACAAAAATCTGTGGCATTTGGCGCGGGAAAACAAAATACCTCTAAAAACTAAAGCTACCTGTGTCCCATTGTAACTGAATGCAACGTTTGCTACCTCTCAGTTGTGTGGTAATTTAAATTTTATACTATTATTTTGTTGGTTTATTTGTTAATCGTTAGAGCTCATTTAAATGCAGAATAATACAAATACAGGTTAAATTATTTGGCAACAAGGTTTGATGTCCAGGAGTATTGATTTGGAGGAAATTTTACCTGGAAATATTTACATAAGAGTATTTTTTGACCTGCAACCGTACAAAAGAATTGTCAATTTTAATTTTTTTATTTTTTGGTTGCGGTTTGTCTGTATTGTTTTTCATTTTTCCAAAAATCACCAATTTAATTTCCATTATTTTTGCCAACATAAATTACAATGTAATAATTTTTGTAAGGATAAGTGGGTTGAGATTTTGGTATAATTTACCCTTTAAGAAAACAACCCCGTAAGTAAACATTTGCTTACAAAATAAGTTTTTTGTGATGTATGGAAAGTTTGATTTCGATTTACTTTGTTGAAACAGCGTCCCTTGTTGACGATATTAATAGGTTTTAAGGAAAGTTATTTCTCATGTTATGGCTAAGTAAGCAGAATTACTACGATTACTTCATACTAAAGCTGCGTTATATTCGCAGAATGACAAACCTTCCATTTGACATTTTAATCGTTTATTCTAAATCAACTTTTTCCTTCAACTGTTTTTTAGAACTAATTTATCGGACGGCAATAAACTTGTGTATTTGTGTAATATTTGTCCACCCCACAAAGATCGAAAACATTTACCAAAATTACCTGTTTTGGTAATTTTGTTGAAAAAAAAAACACATTAGCTTCATTAAAGCTTAATTACGTATTCTATTTGTTTTAGATCAAACGGAACCGGAGAAAATGCTCGTCTGACGGCTGGTATGGCTTCACCCGCAGTTTTCTGTGTCAATCTACAGCTAAGTAAGTAATGGCTTGATTTATTTACGGGCAATCGATCAGACGGGCTACTTGTTGCACGACTTTTCGAGGGAAAAATTATTTTGGTCGAATTTTTAGCTTTAATAGATTTTCGGCTGTTATTCGATTCTTTCGGTGCGTGGAGGAAATGGGTAGGTTATTGGATTTGTCTTTCTCAAACGGGTTTATTAACGTAATGTGATTATCCTGGTCACGCCTAGAGCTTCACTGAACTCATTTGACACCTCTTTTAGCTTTAGTTCCGCAAAAAAGGAATATTAAGTTCCAGTTTTTGTGCAGGAATTCAGTGCCGCTTAGCACTCTCAGGAGTTTTTGCACTTGAAACAATAAAAGGAGATTATTCCGCAGATTTTGTGTTATGAATTGTGTTACCACAGAAACAGCATTTTCCAACAAGCTTTGTATCTTTCACTTCTCTAAAATTTATTTGATTTTTTAATGTCTCAGAGAGTTATAATATAAATAAATAAAGCATGAACATGCTCTACAAAAACGGAGGTTTGCACAACTTGACTTATACATATTTTATTAGCATGAATTTATTAATAATTATAAAAATTAGCAATTTAGACTAGGATAATGATGCTTCTTAGTAGTCGCAACGACATAATACCATACCGATAAAAATATTTCTTACGATCTCGTGTTTCGTATATCTTCATCGAGGTATTCTATGTTTTTTTTTAATTAATGCATTCTGTGTGCCCTAAGAATCAGAATATTCATAGTATTATACTCGCATGTATACATAAAAAATATGTACAAAAAAGTATATTAATTAAATAAGAAATAACACCTGAAAAGAGGACAGTGTTCGCTTAAAACGTAGCGAGAGATAATATCTGTAATAATGTGCACATTATAGTTAATAAATTATAGCCTGGAATTAAGTTTATTGCATAAGAGTGAAAGGTTTTTAAAATAGTGGGTTACGTGTCCGTTAAAATTGGCCGCGCGGATTCATACGTTCGAGCGGCTCGTTGGTCTAGGGGTATGATTTCCGCTTAGGGTGCGGGAGGTCCCGGGTTCAAATCCCGGACGAGCCCACAGATTTTTTTTTCATTTTTTATTTAAATGTTTGATTAGTGTTAGTATTGTATACTGTTCAGGTACACTGTTAAAGAATAAATGTTTTTTTTTAATTGTTGCCATCAGTGAACATGTCACGATTATTAATTAAAATTCGGTATTAATACTCATTCGTATTTATTAATTTAGTGCAAAATGATCAGTCTTGAATTGGTACGTATAATTCATGATGTTATTTGTAATGTTGGTATTTATTTTAATAAATAAAATTGTTTCAGTATTAAAAATTATCGTGTTTCCGCGTTGGTTATTTAAACAAATACGGCGGCTCGTTGGTCTAGGGGTATGATTTCCGCTTAGGGTGCGGGAGGTCCCGGGTTCAAATCCCGGACGAGCCCATAGTTTTTTACTTTTTGTAGAAATGCGGTTGGAGTTTATTATGGTTTCCTGTAGTTTTTTAAATTTGCTCTTCATGTGTAATTAGTTTAATTAGATGACGGTATATAATTTTTCACACATTGCAACCAAATTCTTTCAAGCTCATGCTGCCATCTGTGAATCAGCTAAGCATAATGAATATCGACCGGTTTATTCTAATTAGTTATTCTTATGTGGGGCCAAGACAGTGGAATATTTACATAATAAATCGAAGAGACGTGGAATATGAAGATTACTTTAATTTAACGAGAAATATTATCTGACTGACGATTTGTAATACAATTTTGTAAGATTATAATGTGATAAGATAAAGTGAAAGTTGCTTTATCATGCAATGTACTGTAAGTAAGTTCCTCGTAAAATTAATGGTTTTCGGTATTTTACACAGCACTTATTATCGTGCTGAACGATCTTTATTTAGTATTAATTTACTTCTTTGCAATTATTAAAAATGTGGTTTGTACTTGTTTTTTCTATTACTACTTTTATATATCTTTTTACGGATGTGGCAGTTACTTGTTTAAACTCCATTAATTCACTTTTATATTACACAGTACACACAACCTTCTTCAGTTATAAACTTTTTCTGCAATAAAATATTTTAAAGTATGAAAGTATCTTTCTCAATATAAAAGTGAACTATTGTTATAAATTAGAGAATTTTGTTGGACCGTATTTGAAAAAAGCCTAGCTGACAAGTAAATACTTCTTTAAATTTATTTTGTGAAACTTGAATGTTTTTGCATGCATTAAAAAGGATCATATTGGGGACAGAATAGATTCTGTTTTGTGATTTTAAATATCATTAAACAAAGCTTTTCCTTGAAAGGGTCTGTTTTTTCTTTGTTGTTGTTTCCCATGAGAATCGTCATAGTTTCTTTTCCAATTTATTTTGTGTAAACTTTATATCTACTCTTGAATTTTCCGTTGTTTGTTCTTATTACATAGTCCTTGAATGGTAGACCACTAGTTTTCAACTCAGTAAGTTCTTGCATAGTTGATGAATTCATTTCATTTTCCAGACAAGCTACTCTATTTTACACCATCTACGACAAACTGAAATTAACAAATTTGTTGGATGCGTTATTTTTCTTCACAATAAAAAGTCTGATAACATTGAATCCATATTTTCTGCATAAAGCAGCTCACCTTATTTATTTTATTATCTAGATTAACTAACATAAATTCGTTTCTGGTCTTTAAACATTTAAATTTTTCCAGTAATTTCACAGTGACATATTGCATTTTTCAGAGGTTTCCTACAGAGTTTTTCAGTGTTCATTGCTGTCGTGATCCTTTTCGTTTTAAAAATATTGCTAATTTATCAGTATGTATAAAATGTTGGGAGAAAAATTTTCAAGACCACGTGAAGTTTTCGTTTCGTGGGAAGTTATTCAATATATATGTATGGTTTAATCAGGCATAACTTTTTGACTGAGTAATTTGCTTAATTTTGTTTTATAAAAACTGAAACTAAGAAGAAATTGCTTAAAGAAATTCATATCATAAAAGAGATGGGAACCTGGCTGACACATACACTTGTCTATCTCGACCCATCCATCTTTCAGAATAATGTCCTTCGATTCAACCTCTGACCAGCAAAATGTATTGGCGCACGGTCCAATTGTAACTACATACACTGATGGAGTGTAAGCGGTAGATTATCCAACACATCTTGTACTTGATTTTGAAATAAGTTCAAAACTGTGCTATGATTTATCCAGTTTGGTAGCACAATAGGTCCAATCAAATTATAGGCCCAATAGATACCACACTACGTTGACTGAAAATTGTTGAAATCCCCCTCTTCGGCTTACATTACAATAATGATTATTTCTGGAACTGGAGATGTTGTTCCGGCTAAAAATTTACCCGTCCGTCCATAATACATGCTGCGTAAAGTATGGTTCCTGCTCAATTCTGCCAAGCAGTCATTGACCGAAATCTACTCATGGTGCACCTTCTTTTAAGACTTGTGTATCGTCAAGGATGATACCCATTTTCTTTAATTATTTCGTGTACTGTACTTGGATTCATTCCAGCTATTTGGCCAATAGCTCTAATGCTTGGCTGAGCAGATTCTTCCATTCAGTCAATAACTTACTCCTCAATTTCCACCGTTCTTTCCTCGGCCCACCTCAAGCTTGAAACGCACTTTTTGGTTCAAGTCATCCCGTTTCCCTTAACCTCTGGTCTAATCTCTAAAAAACATTTCTGTACGGATGTTCACGATTTGATAGGTTTGAAGATATTTACTTGACGCCCTGCGGAAATTACCATTATACCTAACCAGTGCCAAGTACCTGTCATAATATTTAAAAAAAGAAAACAATTTTTAAAGATTACACAGCGGGATAGAAAACCAACAAAATGGTTTGGCGTTTAAAATTGTTGTTAAATTCAACGTAAATAATAAAAGTCTGATAGGTTAATTTAACTAAGGTACCTGAATAAGAGATTATTAAGGCGAGTTCCTACCTTTTTTACTTGCGGGATGTTTATTACATTTTCAGAATGTAATAGCTCCATTATTAACAGACTTATTGTTATGAATAAATATAAAATGTACACAACTTACTCGATATAACACAGTGGCAGTTTTTTTAAACATTTTATCATCTTTTTAAAGTTTTGATAACATTTTTCATCACGTATTTGTAAAATTTAATATTTCAATTATTAATGGGAATTTCGGAACGCGGTTTTCAGCAATCTTTTCAGCTTACGAAATTCTACACGTTACGTAGAAAACATTGTTGATTTCTTTTGTTGAAAATGAAATAGAGCAAAAGCACCTTCTTTGACACAAGCTATTTTTAGTATATGTCATTTCCGACAAAAAAAGTGACAATATTTCCTGGTGAATAAGTATGAAGTTGACGAACTGACCTTTTATGTATCCTTTTAACATAATGACAAAGAATTAGCTTTTAAATTATGTACTTACTTGCTAATTTAGTAAGTAAGTAATTCTCAAATTGAGCTTGTCTGGCGTTCCTTTGTGGTAACAAGACGAAAGTTTAGCACAAAAACTGGTTAATTTAAATCAAGAGGATAATACCACCAGCATGAATGGTGAATTCTAAACGAAAAAAGAATTAAATACTCTAAATTCGAAAATAAAAAAAGTAGGATCAAGAATTAATAGAAAGAAAATTTCTGAAATCGAATTAAATGACTAAGTCAGAAAGTTTAAGTATCTTGAACTGTGATATCTGATGAAAATGAAGTGTTTAAGAATATGTAAGATTAATAAAACTAAGAACGTGTTTTTGAAACTCAGCAAGTTATGTTGTACACATAAAGAAAAACACAAAGTGACCAAGAGAAATATGGATGAGAATTATACAAAAAGAGGCTGATATGTCTCTAGCGAGTCTTAATTATACTGCTACAGATAGGTAGAAGAGAATAGAGAAAATTTTTCGGTTGATAGTTTGTCATAAGGGAATAATAGAATAATTAACTACTACTTTGTGCTAGAAGTCGTACCATTTGAGCGATTATCGTAAATG